CTTTAAATGCATTTATAAATACATCTGAGTGCTGAAATAATTAAAATCAATCATAAGGTAGAAATTTCAACAGTGCTGAAGGCAGCTATAGCTCTGGAGGGAAAACAAGAGTACTTTGTGCAATACCAGATAACAGATTGTGAAGCAATATAAAAATAGTCCTTAACAGGAGTAATATAAGCAGTAATTACATTCAATGGATGAGTTGTGTAAAAAAAAAAAAAAAAAAAAAAAAAATGCAGTCATCTGCTTCACACAAGAAGACTGGAAAGAATAGACTATTTTGAAGCTATTACATTTTTAAAATAAAGAGACAGATTATTGAAAATGATGAATGACAGAGAATCATTCTGTAAACAAAAGCTTTATCAAGAAAATAAGATTAACTCTCAATTAGCTTCAGGTTATGATGTGGAGAAGCATTTGTGACAATAAAAAACAAATGAGTCAGGGAGCTAAACAAATTTAATGGAAATATTTCAAGAGAGATGATCAGAATAAGCAAATAGTAAGATAACATTGAATTAGCATTGCAAAACCCAACTTAACCAGAATCAATTCCATCTGATAGAAGACAACAGCATATATATATATATATATATATATATATAAAAACTATTATGTATACCTAATGTCATTTCCTATTTCATTGTGGTCATTACTTAAGAGAAAATAATAATAATAATGTTTAAATTATACTGATCCTGGCCCAGGATATAAACAGTTGTATTTTTATTATTTCATATTTGGTCAAAAAGTTGTTTAATCTTTAATTATAATTTTCTACATTTAATCCATGAGCTATTTTCAGGATAATCAATGGTTAAATACTTCTTTAATTCACATTATATTTTAAATTTATTATATTTATTCTTAAACATTTGTTAACCAATTTTTATCGGATCTTTTATAAATTCCTATCGAACATCCATTAAACCGCATACTTACAATTAAAATAAGATTAAATAAAAGAACATTTGTACATAAATATGTAAGCTTGAAAATATTTGGGTAAATGAATGTAAAATTCAACTTAGTATTCAACAAGAAATAAGATAAAAGCAAAATAAGAATTTTTTTTTTAATAAATAAAAAGCAACATTTGGTCAATATTTTGCTGTGAATCTTTCACCTAAGATTTTGGGTGAGATTGGTTGAAAATGCTTGAATTTGCATTTTTCTTTTTCTTTCTTCAAATGCCAAAGTTTTTAATAGCCATGAAATTAACTATGCAAATCAAAGTCAAACAGGAAGAAAGAAATGGAGAAAAACTGTCAAGTGAAATGAATCACAAACATTGAGGAGAAACATGGCCATAATGGAGTTGTATTTTTCAGCATAAGTTTAACCTTTTCACTGTGTCAATATACTAATATTTATTGAGCCCTCATCAAAATTGGCAGTTAAGGAATGTTTTAAGATAGACTCAAAATGATCAAAGGCAAATTTAAATGGTTAAAAAAACAAAACAAAAAAAAAAAACATCAATATTTAACATTTTATAAATTAATTAAATTGCTGATTATCAAAAATTACAGCAGTCAGAAGATTTTTTTTTCGATAGGCCCAACTATAGCCGCTTTGACCAAACTAAGTTTGTTTCTACATAATGCCTTATGGTCTAGTTAGTAATAAGTAGATATAAAGTACTTAGACACTTAATATAAAAAATAAAATGGACATACTGTAAATCATTAATAAGTGATGACAAATGGAGGACATCAATAAAGATTTTGTTTGTGTTGGGAATATCAATAATTATATTGCAGATACAAGGCAATAAATGGAGGCAGTAGAATATTACAAAAAATTGGAAAATTATTTGATTATTGATACAAGTACAATTCAGAATGTGCATATTCTCAAAAACGGCATGTCAAGTAAAATATTTTATATTTTATGAATAATTAACTTGAAACAAGCCAATTTTGAGATATTCAACAAATTCTAATATATGAAGAGCTCATAATTAGCTTTCATTAGAGAGTTGTAAATGTTTTTGTGCAAGTCATTAATATTAAGGATAACTTATAAAGCTATTACATTCTTATTTGCCAAAAGACCATTGGATGAAATTTTGTAAAAGGTTTCAATTTCTATTCATTGGTATTTTGTCTATCACACTAGTTTCATTGGTTTCAAATGGCTAAGAACTATATTGCATATAAGTTTGTCAAAAATGTCTAATTTGTACATCAGAAGAACCTAAGTAGAGAGTGCTCAATAGTTTCAGAGAGACAATGTAGGGATTTCTGGCTTTGTAGGTTTGTATAATGAAAGGTACATTCAAGTGAACTGAACATTTAAATATTTCAAACTAAAATAAGTTTGCATAAAGAAAATGTAATTATCTAATATAATTAATGTTAATTAGTTGTACTTCATATACTTTAACAAAATACATACTGATGGAATATATAGAAATGCCAGATATTATAATCTTACAAATGAACTGACTTATATGGACATCAATAGATGAAATATTTCAGATCTGTTATTTGACATTTTGGTCATAAATTCAATTGCTATTTTCTATTTGGGTCACGGAATAAATCATAAGCTCACAATCCCCCCCCCAGAACAATTCAACTATAAAAACAATGAGTAAAGTATAAAGTAATAGCCATCCATCCATAGTAACAGTAGGCAATTTTAAAATACATTTAACTATGTATCAAATTATCCATTGAATATACTGATAGTGATGACAGTAAATATATCTTGATGAAATTCTAGTTTACTTTGTATCCTGCTTTTTCAATATCTTATTAAAATATGAAAATTTACATCTCAAAAAATGAAATAGATTCTTTTTGCTTATTTACAAACTAAGTATTTTTTTAAAAAAAAATAATGCAATAAAATAAAATAAAAACAATAGAATAAATACAATAATTAAAAAAATTATTGCAATAAAAGTACTAAACATTTTCAAATTAAATAATGGTTTAAAGTATTTATGGAAAGGTTTGCTATATAATATCTGTTGCCTATGTGTTTTTAATAATTGCACTGGTAACATTTTACAAGTAGGAACTATTGACAGTAAAAGAAAAATATTCAAGTTAATGGACACTGCAATGTTAGGGATGACAAGACAAAAAAAAAACTTCCCAAAAATCCCAGTGTAAGCTTCTATTATTTTCAAAGAAATCAAGAAATCTTAACTATATCTGGTAACAAGTTATGTTTTAGGAAGAAAAGTGTATATAATGTTTAAAATAAATTCCACTAAATTACTGTGACATTTTATTAATAGAAAATACTAAGGAAAAATAAAAATTTTCTTAGCTAAGGAAATACTAGCATCATTAATAAATGACAGAAAAGAAAACTTCCAATCTATGAATTAAACTTATTCATATTCAAATCCATCTTTATATTTTAGAAACCTTAGAATCTGAATACTTAAAATGTTAAAGTTAATATTTCTGAAATAAAAGAGAGCAAATAAAAAAAAATTTGAGAAAACCCAAATCTAGGAATCCAAACTGAACCAAAAGCACTAATAAGCACTTAAAACAGAATGGATAGAGCAAGTGTTGATTATGTATCTGACTTTTCTATGACAATGTATCAAGTAGCACAGGGTGCAGCAATGTGGCAGGTTGAAGCAAACTGGGAAAGCAAGGCAATTGAGATACAGCTGCAGAAGACGGAAAATCTCGACTAGCATTAAACTTGTATTTCCATAAATAACCTTTTTTTATCACATATGAAGAAAATCAAATTTACAATGACAATTTTTGTGTATATATATATATATATATATATATATATATATATATATATATATATATATATAAAACAAATAAATAACAGAATGTCAGCAGAAAATGTACATAAATCATACTCAATAAAAAGATTTTGGGAATGAATGGCACAGAACTGAATTGATGAGAAAAAAAAACCTCTGTGTAATTAGAGGGGTTTGTAAAAAATGCAGCACTGATAGTTACACTGTACAATAAAGTGTTGTGGAACAACAGATAAGGCTAACAATGGCAGGCTGCACTCCATTAATTACAGAAAAAGAAAAAAAATCAAATGGAGGAAAAAAAAAAGCCACTGAACAGCAACAATTTTTGATAAAAAGTAAACTTGCTTTTTAAATGAGCAGATAGATAATTTAAAACATGTTTGTTGTAACTAACTTTTCTTTCTGGTAGGACCTTTTTTGAGTATTAAACTGACCTTTGCAGTTATCAGATTATAACAATGTATATGACTGTTTCAGCAGTAGATAAACATGAAAACTAAAATGTTTATATGCATTCAATGATACGGAACCCAAGCTTACCAAAGGATTAATTGATTAAACAAATCTCAAAGTATATAACATGATAAATGGTTGGTAAGACAGGTTTCATAAAGTTAAACTTTGAAAAATAATTAACCGATATATCTTCAATAAAATGAATTTTACTGTTTAGAATTTAAACATCTTGTAATCATAATTCAGTATAAGCATTAAAAATATTGTAAAAAATTAATTTAAAGTAAGCGTCAACAATTTGACCAAAACCAGCATTTTTTTTAAAATTTAATTAGCATAAAAATTTGTCATTCATTATCAAGCTTCACTATAAGGAGAAAACAAAGTAATGATAAAAATGCTTTTTCTCTAAACAGATAGCAATGAAAAAGAAAATAAAATTTTATAAGTCATCTAATTTCAGTTCTATGCCAATTCATATATTCTTTTGTTTATATAATAAACTGTTGGCAGCAAGTTCCAATCAATTTTCAGTCTGAAAACACAGTGAAGGGTTTAAAATTTTGTCATATGAGATCACACACACACACACACACACACACACACACACACACACACACAAACACAAAGATATAGAGACAAACAAATACACATGCACATACACACTGGTGATAATTTTGCAGCACAAGTTTTTCCTGTAAAATATCACATTTAAAACTGCCCAACTGAATTTTCCCAGAGAACAAGCGGTTGAGAAAAGACATGATTTACATTTGATAATACATTATTCTGTTTTCATTCTTTTCATTGAATGGGGATCTCCAGCTCCAACAGTTGAAACTGGCATGACCACAATTGTCTTTTGTCCTGTTGCAATTTGTGCAGTTGCTGGAGTGGCTCGTAGAGTGACTTGATGGGCATTGGTGATGGGGTTGGTCTGAACGGTGGTTGTACTAGTTGTCACATTGCCAGTGTGTGAGATGGCCGGAGTAAGAACCATAACAGTGGCGGTGGCATTGGTGCTAGTTGAGGCAGATTCAACAGCATGGCCATTTCCAGAACTGTTGATTACAGTATGAGGAATGTATGCTGGTTTCATGCCAACACCAACAGTATTATTATCAGTTGAGTCAAAGGAATTCAAGGCGGCAGTGTTTCCAAGATCAATAAACTACAATAAAACAGAGAAAACATATCACAAAAAATATTACAAACATATGATATTTCTCTTGAACTCCAGATGCACTAAAATAGGCAATTTAGATGTATTTTATAAGACAAGAAAAAAACCAGAATATGATTCTAATATGTAATAATATACAAGGAAATGCTGAAAAGTTCTTTGCCTGACCAAGAAGCCCCTCTAAAAATGAAAAAAAAAAAAAACCTGAAATGTGGTGATTTGGTCAAATTTTAGGAAGTGGGTTGGACCAAGAATACTTCAGCATCACCTATCAAAATACATTCAAACTGGTAATATTTGATGCTGAACTCTTACAGAAATAGCAGCTTATCCTAACAACAATTAAATATATATAGTTAGGAAATACAGATAATCTGCAACTGAAGGCAACAAAATATCTTTTTTGTAGGATAGTAAAATGTGATCAGTTGTTAGTGCATTAGGAACAGAATTCTTAATTATATTTTTTAATCTTTTTCAAAATTGCTGAAACTGATTCCAGGAGAAAAATGTAGACACTTAAGTCAAAATAGTTATGTGGCCTAAAACATTTATTTTCAGTTGTCTGTCTTACTAGTTGCATGTGTGGATATCATTAGGCATTAACACCTAGTAATCATGCAAAATCTATAAATCTGTGTGCTGTAAAAATAAGATATTGTTTAATTCTAAATCCAAGTCACACAATTTGATTTTGGTAAATTTTAAGGTTCTAGTGATAATGGAAAGCTAATGACAATAGAAAATATCAAATACTTTGCTAAAATTGAACTGGCAAATGAAATCTGTTGTTGGAAAAGCATAACATCAATTTTCAAAGTATTGCATTAGAATTTAAAAGAAAAGAAAAAAAATCACCTGGCTGCAAAGTTTGTCACATCATTAGCCTTTATCTATATAGCAAAAGCATTGCAAATAATAAATTAGTTTTCTTTTTGGAAGGACAGGTAACAATTACATATTACCATCAAACAGAAAATATAATTTATCCATAACATGTTAATGCTCAATATTAACCTTTTAAGTTGTATTTTACCAGATAATACTTATGTATAACAATTTTAACTGAAAATAACTTAATTATAAAGTAGAAGATGGATGCTCAATACAATGTGAGAAAAGACCCACCCATAAAGTAAATAACGATGCAAAAAAAAACAGTTGATATTTGCTAATATTGACAGCAAATTTTATAGAGCAATACAGAAGTATTAAAATAAGCATATTTTAATAAGGGCAAAAATATATTAAATGCGTTTTAATGTTCACCTAATCACTGCCCACTAAAACATTTTAATGTTAAATGTTTAGCATGAATAAATGTATACAAAATAAAGTAAATAAAATTGTCCATTTTTGAAAATATCCTATTATAAATTTACTTCAAACAAAAGCTAGTATATTAAGTAAGTTTGAATATAATTGGAAGCTAGCACTTTGCAGCAAATATTTGATCTTTAAGAAATAGTGCTTAGCTGAGATATATAAAAATTACTCCAAATCATTTAATAAAAAGAGCATTACACTCCTAATTATGATCCTTCTTTTCAGATGTTTTCACCCTAAGTTTATTATTATCATTATTATTAACAATGCTTGTCAGACAAGATGATATAAAAACAGGTTTTATTGCAAAAAAAATAAATAAATAAAAATATATGTAAAGGGGGAACTTCTAATTTTGAGGATTAAACTAGAAATTTCTTCAATATTTTAATATTATAGCTTTTGGTTTTGACTTGGACAAGCATAATTTACCTCTTAAGATGGCAGCCCCATCCTGTTGAGATGCAGGGGGTAGGAGGATTTTGGCTAAGCCCTCTCCAGAAATTCTCTGGAATTAACAAAAAAACATAAGATAAAAAATTCAATGTATAAATTTCATAGTTGGGCAGCTATGAGATAGATGAAGGCATGCCAATCAGGATATTTTATCTCTCTTAATTCAGGACTGTTTATTCAAGCTGTTGAAAATTCACTGGCCCATATAATTACATCCTTTTTTAAGAAATGACATTATAAAATCAGAAACTATATTTTTATATGTGCATAATATGAACAAAATCTAGGATATCATTTAAAATAAGCTTTTAAAAAGTAAAAACTTAAAGATTAACCACTTTCATTTATAAGTAAATAGGTGTCTTTAGTTTTTCTTCACAAATTTGATGAGCTTATGAATCTTGCTTTGAATTAAAAAATTGTAAATTATATTTAGTTATAGATATACATTAAAATGAACTTTTATTAAATGTTTTTTTTTCTAAACTTTTAAAAATCTTTGAAAGAACTCTATAAAAATTATGATGTTTACGCTATTATTATATTACAATAGTGTAAACATCGTAATTTTTAAAATATAATTTAGATTGAACTGTTAAAAAATTATTTAACAAGACAATATTAGATATTCTATAGTAACTTTACAATTCTCCAAAATAGTAAATATATATTCTAAAAAAAAAAAAAAAATAAACAAATATGAAGATATATTTAAAAATTATCAATGTGGGTATAATGGATAGCTTTGTAAAAATTTCCCAGATTTTACCAGTAAAGTTTATTATAATGATGGTAATAATAATTCTTCCACATACAGCTATTTCATGTTTATTGGTAGTTTTAAAAAAAAAAAAAAGAAAGAAAGTACAGTACATTCTGAAAATGGAAAGCATTTTCAATCTGTTTATTATCAAATTTTGATAAACAATCAAAAATATGAAAAAAGTGACAAACTTTGGAAACCAAGGTGTAAAATATTTTGTAACAAAACTGAAGGAAAATAATTTTTTTTTAAATAAAGACTCATAATAAAATAATTGACAATTATAATCTGCAATTCCATATAACATAAGTGTAGATAAATCATTTAAAATATCCAAATATTTGTTTCTAATGAAACAAATATATGAACATCAACATAACTTATTTTCATAAACTATTACATTTTATTACTGTGGCTAAAAAAATTATTTCTCAATTACCATTAAGGAGTTTGAAATATATATTTTAAAAACATTAAAACGTTTTTTTTTTTAACATTTATACAAAAATTTAAGAAAACAATTATGCAATAAAATCTTTTTTTTTTTTTAAATAAAATCATGAAAAAACCAATAAAGATAAATCTGTATTATCATAATGAAATTGTTTTTGTGTTTTATATATAAAAGCAAGGAAACTGGCAATGATAGAAAAGTTTAATTAAAATTATAATGATTATTAGCAAGCTAGTTTTATTCCTTGTACAGTGAGTTTGATCCTCTCTACTATGGAAATGTGCAAAACTAAGTTGAGTAAACAAGATTATTATAGAAATAGATAACTTTGATATCAAATTTTAAAAATATTGTTTATTTGACAAAGTGAAAATGGATTTTTTCTTATGATTAACAAAAATGAAGATGCTATCAATTATTCAGTGTAAAAAAAAAAAAAAAAAAGACTATTCATAAAAAACATAAAATCTCATATTTGAAAAAACTAATCTTACAATGTTAGAAATGATTGTAGCATATTTTAAATAGCAATATTTGTCAGCATTAATCACTTATAATTTTTGCCCTTTCAAGTAAAATATAATCAGCACTTATTTAATCATTACTATCTTTTCAAGGAATATAAAACTATTTTCTTTTCAAGATCATAAGACGGTTTTAATTTTCTATCCCTTTAGTATCATACCAGCATTAGTTCTCTGTTGTAATGTTTTTTTGTCTTGATTTTTTTGAAATTGCACCCCCCACCACACACAGACAAAAAAAAAAGGTCTGGTTGCACAGCTACGGAGTAGGAGAGCTGAGATGATCTTAGCAGTGAGAAGAGTCTTTCTAGCCAATGAGTGTGCACACACCAACTGCCCAATGGGGTTGTCGTTGACATACACAGCTCTAGTGCACTGGTCAGCATGCTGACAAAGGTGGCGATTACCAGATTTTAGCAGATTCCTAATTCAAATGCGTACTTTTAGATTTGGTAGCAGCAGCCAGCTGCAGTAACCAGCCTGTTAGTTGCATTGTTTGTTGTTCTCTAAGTAATGTTCTCTAAAATTAATCAGAAATTTATCCCAAATTTGATGCATGATTTTACGTCTATTTTTTTCAAATTTCTTTTTTACATATCTTAAAGATACATACCATTTAAAATGAGACAAGTTCCTCAAATTAAATGTTTTGAACTAATTTTAAGTTTTGATAAAGCCTTTTGTTCATTTAATAATTGGACAGATAGTAAAAAAAAAGAAAATTAAAATTTGTATGCATTGACGAAATAACTAAATTAATTTTCAACTTCTGAAAATAGTATTCATTTAATTGGATTTTGGATTCATAAAGTTCAGTATCTTAAAAATTTCACAATTTACTTATTCAGTATGTTGGAAATTAAAAAACGTATTTTTACAAAATTATCAAAAAGAAGCAAATAAAAATACTTAGATTAATCATTACCATGTAAATAATAGCATTTAACATATTTCAACAAATGCTGTGTACAGGTGTGCAACAACTGTTAACAGATTAATGCTAAGGTGTCCACCAGCTGACATGCTCATTAGTAAAATATCCGAGATTGATTATGTACTAATAAAGATATTTATAAGGTATGTGAGCCAAAATGATGCTGAACAAAAGGCTGATAATCTGTAATCTGTATAAGCTTGTCCCTTTTTTATTATAATTGTTACAAATCCTTAAAAATTAGCATAGTAGAAATAAAACTAAAAAAAAATCTTTAAGAAAAGGGAGTAACCTTCAAGGAATTTTGAACTGAACACTTTGTTTAATCTACAAGAGAAGATTGTTCTCATTTCAATATTCATGTCTAGGACACGTTATCTTTTTAATACTACCAAGTTATTCCTATTATTTCCACTGGGTTTGGAACTGGGAGCATAATGTTCTTATTGTTTGCCTACTGCTAGACTTTCTTTGCCTACTGCTTCTCTTTCTTCCTGCAGAGAACAATATACTTCCCATTGATTAAATAAAGGGTTTGGTTTGAAATTACCCTGAATAACAGAAACCTGAAGAAGAGTGGAGGGCATAATGGCTGAAATGTGATAACAACCACAACAATGAGAACATTAACCCAACTGTAAATAATGACAACTCCTCATTCTAGAAATTCAGATCAAAATTATTTATCTTTCAAACATGTCTAAGTTCACAAGTAAATGTATTTTTTAATTTTTTGTACTTAATTCTGAAATTTAAAAATTATTTAAATTTTAGTATACCAGAATTATTAGTAAAAACAAAATCATGATCATGTACAAAATTATATTTAAATATACCTAAAAAAAAACTTAAATTCTCTTAACAGTTACTTTTATAATTATTGAAAATTAATGCTATATTTCATAGTTACATCACCTGTTTCTCTGAACAAAACTTTCTAAAGAGAAAAAGTTAGTTTCAAAGATTTCATAATAAAATTATGTTGAGAGAGACAAAGTAAATTTTTTAAATTTATGTATGTATTTAAATTTTAGCAATATACTAATTTTTAGTTTAATTAATGATTAAAATAACCTAAGTTTATTTATGTACACATTTCAGTAAGAATAAAACATTATAAATATGCTTGAAAAGAACTGATATAAGATTCAGTTCACACTCCTCTCCAGTTTTAGAACAACAGAAGTTTATCTCTCTTTTTTTTTCTGTTTAGGATTGGGTTTCCGGTTCCTTCTAAAGTCTTCTCATTCTCTTTCACCCCCAGTAGCGCCTTAGGTTTTAATGGCATTGTTTGGGATGAATTGAAAAAAAAAATAAATAAAACACGTTAATTTTTTACAAAAGTACCAAGTTTTGGCAACATTTCACATTTCATAAAAATATTGGAAACTTGAATTACTTTCCTTCTAAAAATTAACTGCATGTATATTTCAGTGTGGCTGGCTTCTAGTTCCCAAGTATGCCTGTTTGCTAGAGTGGCTTGCCAATCTCTGTTGCAGATGCCTGCTCTGGCACGTTTGTGCTTGTTCTACAGTCAACCTGTAGTTTATATTGCAACTATGCTGAGTAAGCCATAGTTACATTTTCTGGGAGAGGGTATATAATCTGGTGTGATCACCAGTTTGAACAAGGCCAGTACACAAACTGTCAGGCACAATGACTTGTGACTGTGTTAGCACAACTATCAGTGACTTCTGAACAGTTTCGTCTATCCAATTTCACTCACAAGGGGGTCAAACCCATAATGTAGTTTTCTGGCACTTCCTAATAGTGCTACACACTGTGATCATCCCTCCTGACTGATATTAGTCACTAACCTTGGCAAATCAACCAGGGTGAGTTTTGAAACTCAGGTCTTATGGTTGGAATGCCAACATTCTAATCACTCAGCCACACTATTCCAGCCATAAATATATGAAAGGATCAGCTACAGAGGAGACAGGATGTGAAGGGTATGTCCACATTATTGATGAACATTCTTGAGAATAAACTTAAATCTGAATTAGTCAATTAAAGGTAATCTAATTCGAGAATAATTTTCTAAGTTTTTGAAGCTGCTATAAAATACTCAAATGCAATTTTTCAACTTCCCAAGCTGTTACTTAACATGACAGGAAAAGTAGAAAAAGGAAACCAATTTTTGTCATAAAAAAAAAAAAATTTTGATTAATTTTCCTTTACTTGTACAAAATAATCTTCTCAGGAAGATATGTAGGGGAAAACTTCATTCAACTTGTAAAATTTACTAAGAAAATATTGTTACCTGTCTTACTTCTCCCATAACAGCAATTGGTGTCTCGTCGGTAGCAGCTGCCACCTTGTGCTCCACCAGATAAAACATGTATTCATCATACAACAGTCGTATAAGGTGGAAAGAACCAAAGCTGGCAGCGCTACGTAAGGTTAAATCCCGGATAACCATAGAACTGAAAAGAAATATTTATAGTGCTTTTTAGAATATTCAATTAGATGAATTCAAAAAGTTTTTCTCATTATTATCAAGTATAATAAATTCGATATATATCTGTCATCAACCAATTATGTATTTATCAATACAAAATTCTAATTCTATGACAACATTAGAATAGTTCACAAAATAATTATATTATATATGTATATATATTGCACACTGAGTGCTGTTATTAATAATAGTGCTTGATGCAAAAAAACAAAGCTAAATTGTTAATGTATAGTTTATAATACATTAACAATATACATTTTTCCAATATATTTATTATTAATATATTAAACAATATTTCAAAAGGTGGTTGCTCTGGATAAAGGGGAATGCAGTGTTAATTTTTGTCAAGAGGTACTTTTTCTTTAATACCTTAATAACAATGTCTTGACTGGTTTGAAAAAAAAAAAAAACAAAAAAAGAAAAATTCAAATACATGCATCTACTAAAATAATGTTTATCGTAACACATACACAATTAGGGATAGAGTGTATGTAAATATAAAAGTGGACATTGAGGTCAACACCCAGTGGTGAGTCAGTTCCAAAATCAAATTTTTACTACATTATTTAAAAATCAAAACACACAATAAATAAATTAACAAAGTACAAACACACACATAAACACAAATAAACATAATAACAATCAACAATAAAAAATAATAATAAAATAATCAATAATAAATGAGTAAAAAAAGTTAAACACTATAAAATAGCCACAAAACTGCATTTGGATACACAAGTATTTTCACTCAATAGCCTTTAGAATAATTTAAAACATAGCTATTACTGGCCACCCAACAACTGTTGGAATAATAGAATAGAATTACCCATAATGCACAACTGACCAGCATATATAAATAGTCGAGCCAAAACAACACACATGGCTTGATGATTGTGTTCAAGCATGAAACAGAGTATCCTTTTTGCCAACTCCAAGTATGGCTATTACTACATAACTTTTTGGAGAATATCTACTGATGTGCTGAATGAATGTGGCTCTTTAGCCCAGCAAGTGACCTACAAACAGGGCACTTAAGAGGTGCAACAGCAGGTGTTACATTATCATGCAATTTAAAATGTCACAAGAAACTGCTTCTGGGCCTGCATGTCTTACTGCAAATATCACATTTCAGTTGCTGGACGTCTACAGCTTTATAGTCAATTGCCACCCTCCGTTAGTGCACTCTCAAGTGACTCCTTAGACTAGCCATCAACAAACACACTACCACAATTTGTACACATCAGATCAAGCTGTCTGTGAGTGTCTTCAGGAAGTTCAACAGGGAAGCCTTTACCAACATCTCTTTTAAGCCTTGCATGCCTCCTCTTCTCCTCCTCAAAGTGACACCTTCCACTCTGAGCAGCCTCATTCCAATAATTGTGATCAGATGCATATTCTTCTCAGTGCTCACAAGGAATGTTGCATTTCTTCAGCGCATCCTTGATGCAGTCCTTAAAGCGAATCTTAGGTTTGATGGCATTTCTCTTCCCTGCTTGCAGCTCACCATAAAACAATTGCTTTGGAATATGGCTATCATTCATTCTGGCGAGGTGGCCCACCCACAGAAGTTGATGTTTTAGTATCAAGAACTCAGTACTATCACAGCTACTCCTCTTTAGCACGTCTACATCACTAACAAACATTTACCAAGTAATGCCAAGGATATGATATAAGCAGTACTGGCGGAATCTCTCAAGTCTTTTCATTTGTCTGCGGTAAACCACCCATGTCTCGCAAGCATAAAGAAATGCTGTAAGCACACCTGCATGATTGACCTTTAGCTTTGTACTCACTGAAATTCTGTGCTGAGACCACAGACGTTTATTCAGTTTTCCGAATCCGTCGCTAACCTTTTGTATGCAGTTTGAAATTTCCACATCAAGATCACAGAACATGCTCAACATGCTCCCAAGTTACAAAAAAACGTGGGAACAGCCTTCAACATCTCACCATAGACAAAGATGCTTGGTTCACAATATGGCTCTCTTGGAGCTGGTTGGTGCATGACTACTGTCTTTTTCAAACTAATAGTCAATCCCAATGCAGTGCATGCATTAGAAAAAGCATCCATGAGATGCTGCATATCTCCTTCTGAGTGAACCACAAGATCAGTCATCAGCATATAGCAAATCCCTGATCAACGACAAGTGAACCTTCAACTTTGCATCAAACTTCCTGATGTTAAACATTCTTCCTGTTGAACGATAATAAATGTAAATACCAACGTTGCAGTTCTTAAAGGCCTGTTCAAAAACAATAGCGAAGTACAGGGCAAATAGGGTTGGAGCCAGAATGTTGCCCTGCTTAACTCCATTTTCAATTGTCACCGGCTCAGAGAGCTTTCCACCAACATTAACCCATGCCTTCATATCATCACAAAACAAATGAAGAATGGAAACAAACTTTTCCCAGCTTCCCTAAAATATTCCACAAAGCTTTGCTGTTTACGGTGTCAAATGCATTTGTCAAGTCAACAAATACCTTATATATATATATATATATATATATATATATATATATATATATGTGTGTGTGTGTGTGTGTGTGTGTGTGTGTGTATGTGGATACACATTTTGAATGTATTCTATTATTATATAGATCTTATGCTTATTTGTTTGGGTTAAGCAGTATTTATACCCAAAACAATATCAAACGTTGAAAGTATTTTGAATTTCACAATATACAGAGTGTACCAGATAATTGAGAACAAATTATCATATGAAGAAAAACAAAGATATTCAATTGAAAAACTGATATCTATCTTTAAATTTGTATAGATGTTCAAATTAAACAGAAAAAAAAAGTTATTCAATAAAACTAGACTGCCTCAAGGATGGCCTCAGAAATGACTGCTTACCCAGATCAGGTGGTTCTTGTTCATGTTGGTCATCAGGTCTATGATAGTAAGCTTCAAGGAGTTATTGGTATTGTGGGACCAGTTTGACTTCTTTCTTGATAACATCCCAGATATAGTAGTCGAAGGAATTCAAATCAGGAGAGCTAAAAGGCACCTAATTATGAGGTGATATAATTGTGAAAATTCTTGGCCAGTCACTCTTGGGTCACATGGGCTATGTGGGAGGGTGCAGAGTACTGATGGAACATGTATGATCACTCTTTCAATCCAAAGTTTGACCACTGTATATAACAACTTGATGTAAGCAATGGCATTGAGCCTGAGGTTCTGCATGAAGATGACATGACTTGACCTTCATTGCTCACAACCTCCAGAACAGTCATATAAACTTTAGTTTGAATCATTATGAGTAACTCCATGGTGTATGTTCAGAGTCACCTGCCATTTCTCATGCTACTTTCAAAAAGCTTGTTATATCTAAGTTGTTGTGGTTAGTGGTTAGCGCCATGAACACAGTGTCTTTTCATTTTCTATTGGAAGTTGTCAATGCTCTCAATACGTGTGAAATTATGTTAAGTCATACCCCATTTATGTCCTACTAAAAGTGTGTTCGCAAATAGCTGAACATTAATATAATTTGAATCAATTATATCTTGATTACTTTGGCGAAGAACATCTGCCAGATTTAGTCTCCATTAAGAAAGGATAACAATAATAAAAGGGAAACTACTACTAAAATCATTACATCTCAAGGAAGCAAATTAACAGGAATTTTTTTATAAACTGAACATTCAAATTAGTAATTTTATAAAGAAACTTACCTATAAAATGACCATTTTAGTAGAAACTGCCTTGCAGCTTTTGGAAAATTACTACTTCCTTCATGTGGCTTAAGAATTTGATTAACAACTCCTTCAAGCCAGACTGCCCACTGTTCTAAGGAATTCTGGGACTGAAGAGTTTTTTTGAAATCTTGCTCAAGTTGGTGAACCATAGAGTCTTCACATTGGCACACCCAGGAGGCTTGCTCCTTAAAAAAAAAAAAAAAATTAAAATTATCATATATTTCCACTCATAGCCTACTTCATTGAAAAATGGACACAAAGCAATATAGAGGAGAAGTAGATTTTTGAAGGACATCAAAATAAATTTTTTTTTTTATCTATACTAAAATAAAAATAATTGTGTTTATGTCTAAAGTTTGCTAACAAAATAGCTAATGACTCAGAATTAAGCTTTTAATCACATTTAACTTATACTCTAAAATTTTCATTTCGCTGTTAAACAATTATACATTTCAAAAACAATAACAATTCTATTAAATTAAATCTTTCAACCTAATACCAATTTGTTTGTTAATTCATTTAGTATACAAGTTCAGATTTTTAAATCAAAGTAAGGTTTGTAAATCAAAAAATGCAATTTTCATTGTCATAAGAATAAACACAAAAAATTGATAAAATATTTACCTGAACATTGGCAAAATCAACTCTATTTAAATCTGTCAGCATTTGGTTTATTTGAGAAGTGTTTTGTAAAACAGCTCTTGCTGCCTGAGCAAGATGATTCAAGGACGTATATCGACGGAGTGTCTGGGCAAAGGCACCCACTGCACTAACCTGACAAAGTAACAGAAAAATTAAGTATTTTTAGGGATACACAGATATGAGTATATCAACTGGTTTTGTACTTGACAAGTAGAGTGAGAGATATACTTTTAAAATACAGAGATAAGGATCACAATATATCATAAATATTATTGATGTAATGGAATAACCTGTCACCCCCATGAGTGACTACACTATAGGTAGTAACTACCTATAAATATCTGTAAGTCAGACTTACACAAGAACTACCGACCTTCCAATAGTATCCCTCACTACTGGGTTGACTTGCGACAACCTTGTGCATAACTGTACTTTTATTCTTATTGTACTGGTTTTACAATAAACCTTTACTTATTTTATCCACTGTGTTTTTCAAGTATATATTCCTATTAGCACGGAATATAACATTTATCTTAAGTGAAAGTGCATTAGCAGAACTAACAACTTTCCATGAGCATCATTAAATTAAAAAGCAAATGCTGTATTAATATAGGATTATTATTATTTTTTTTAAATTAAAAATGATATTAAAAATGTAGGATTTATTTATTAACCAAATGATGGTTGCCTTTTGGGATTTAAAAAAAAAAAAAAAATCATCTTTTCAGTTAAGTGTTCCCACAAAAAAAATCTTATTGGATAGGGTTTTGTTTTTGGGTAAAATCTTTTAAAACAATACTTTTGCAATACATTGCTTTACATATTTAATAAAAAAACGTTTTTCTCATGACTGAAATCTTTTAAAAAGTTTACCTCCCTGAAGCCCACCTCAATGTTCTTATGATAAAAATATTGGAAGTCAAAACTGATTTGTAATAGAAAAATTGTTCTTTCTAATAATTAAGTTAAAAGCAAATTTTTCTGCAATTATCCTAATGCTAAAACCACATAGCATGTCATTTAAATTTTACAAGTTTTCTTCACAAGAAAAACTTTTATGGCTCTTAAAAAAAAAAAAAAAAAAAAAAAAAATCACTTCAATCATATATTTTGCATCATTTACTCTTATAGAATAACTAAGGTTCTATTTCTGTTGGATACAATAACAATTTGGATATTAATATAAAAGGTATACACTTGAGAGTTGAAACAACTATATTGTACAGATTTGTTTATATGGTTGCAATAGCTAAAGATTCAATCTGTAAGATTTTAACATATTTAATTTTAAGAAAGATTTTATGATAAACAATTTGTTTTCTCTTGGTGCTGAAGCTGATTGATGTTTCTGATTTTCCAAGTTGAATTTTAAGCTCATTTGTTATATAATTTAAAATCAAATATAAAATAGATTTTCATTCCAAATTACAAGTTTGTCTTATTTAAAAATAGTCAACAATTGCAGTTAATTACAACATCCTATACAGCTAGTTAAAATGTTTTATTATATCATTTTTAGGAATTACAAATTGAAGACATTTGAAAAAAATACAAATATTCCAGAAATTTCAATCTTATCTTGAAAAACAAGGGAAGCAAATAGAAGATAAATATAGAGCATTAAAAATAAATATACATAAAATATTCAGAATTCAAGGTATTTTCACTTAAAACTTCCATATGAATATAACAACAGTAAATATCAATAATCCTCAATTTTTAGTGTACACTTTCATTTATTTAAAAAGGTATAGTTTGTGAAAAAGTATTATCATCATATTGTAAATTGATCATTACATGCAGGAAAAAAGAAAATGTCATCAATTGTATATATTTTTATAATAACATACTTAAAAAGATTTAGATGCTCATTTAGAAGGTAACAGAAATCAACACTTACTTTTGTCTTAACCATTTCATCTGGAACCCCATGCATGGCACCCTTTAGCCAATTTTCCAAACTTTTAGCAAAATTTCGAATAGCTTGAGTTAATGAGCCTGATGAAAATAAAGTTATGAAATGAATATTAAACAAAATAGCATTGATATCCATTCTTATAGGTTAGGAAACCACATCTTTTTACTATATATATATATATATATATATATATATATATAGAGAGAGAGAGAGAGAGATTTTTTTTTTTTTTTTTTTACACACTTTCTTATAGAACAACTTTTTAAAACCAGCATGTAATCATTTTATTAAAAAAAAAAAAGATAAAATAAATTTTAATCTTATTTTAATTAACAAATTAGTTCATATTTAAAAATCATGATATAATAATAATAATAAAAAAACAAGAATAAGTGAAACTCAGTATAGGTATAAGAATAGTAAGAAACTATTTTTCAGAAGTTAAATAAAGGTATTCTGTAATTTGCATTCAATTAAAGTTACTAATAAAATTTATTTTTTCTTTGACACAAAAGATTCCAATTGTATTTACATTTTTTTATATATTGCCATGAAACAAAAACAAGTCTTGATAAAATTTATATATCTTAAATGTAATGGAATTGGAAATATTTTTTAATAAATATTTTTAGTAAACAAAATGTTCAAAACTTGACAACTCAAAAGTTTTGTGGATGGTACCTGTTCATCATGTAATTACATAGTTTTATTTATTTCTGATTAATGCTCTATTTCTTAATAATGAGCATTTTACTTACAAAATCTGCTTGCCTTAAAAGTGTTATCTTTTAGAAATACAGTGGTTGACCAATTATTTTGTGAAACATCTTTTTTTTTTTATTAAATTTTAGCATCCCATAAGGTAAGGCATAATGGACTATACATCATAAGAATTTGCAAAAAATTAATAAAAATGTTGGCCTTTCACATCTGTCAACAATTTTAAGAAAGTTCTATGATGTAGCTACCTAACAATGAATCAATAACATTAATATCATTATTACCTGTATTATAGACATTTTTACCTGAGAAAACCTGTGAAATAACAATATACCCATAATGTCTTTATAAACAACAAATTAAACTCAGTTTAAAAATTAATTGTCAGGTCTACATCAGGTCAAATTTGCGGATAATAAATATCAAAATCTAGTGCTTTGCTATTCAGAAAAATGAATAAATAAAAGATAAATAATAAAGGTAAAAATATGGTGTGTTGTGTTACTTACTATAAAGTATTTGTAAACCAGTCAATATATCCAATAAAATCAGTCTATAAATCAGCTAAGCCATCCAGCATGAGCACCAGTGTAGAAATAGCAGATATCATATACAGTAGCGTCCAAAACTAAGGGACAAAATTTTAAAACCTAATATTTGTTAGAAATAACAACTGTGAAAAGCTGAAATTTTGACAACTGGTAGTTGTTATCATCCATAATAACATACTAAAATTTGAATCATTTGCAAAGGATAGAAAAAGAATTATAACAATTATTTATTTATTTTCAAATTTGGAACGTCCAAAATTAAGGGACAAAATTGAGAAAAACAATGTAAACGGCAAAAAAACAATAAAAATACATGTACAATCAATATTTAGTAAATGAGCCCTTGCTCTCAATGACAGCTGCACATCTTCGACTACAAGAACGAATCAGTTCTTGACTATCCTCGATACTAATTTTAGACCATTCTTCTTGAAGTTTCACCCACAAATCCTCCGTGTTAGTGGGATTTCTTTCCATAACTTTCACTCCTAAGGTCTTCCAAAGATTTTCTATTGGATTTAAGTCAGGACTTTGCGGTGGCCAATCCATAATTTCCAAATCTTGCTCGCTAAGGTAACTCATTACCACCTTTGCCTTGTGACATGGGGCATTATCTTGCATAAAGGTAGCCCTATCGAAACCTGAATTCTGTATGATTGGCACAACATGATCTTGAACAATGTTTTTATAGATCTGCGCATTTATACGAGTTTGTAACTGGACAAGAGGCGTTGTACCTTGGCTAGAAAACATTCCAAATACCATGACGCTTCCGTCCCCAAACTTGACAGTTTTCTTAGTACACTTTGCACTTAATCTTTCACCAATACGTCTCTTTACATTGTTTTTTCCATCATTTCCAAATAAATTAAACTTGCTTTCATCACTGAAAAATACTTTTGCCCAATTTTCATATGTACAAATTACATACCTGTTTACAAACTCTAATCTCTTTTTCTTCGAACTAACAAGTGGTTTCTTCCCTGAGGTTCGATTAAACAGCCCTATTTCTTGCAGTCGTCTACAAACAGTCTGTCTTGACACATTAACACATGAGGTACTATTCATAACCCTTTTAATTTCTGTGCAAGACTTAAAACAGTCCTTTAATGACATACGCTGCATTATTCGATCTTCTCTTGCCGAAGTTTTGCGGGGTCTGCCGGTTTTAAAACTATTTTGCCAGTATCATTGTAGGATTTAACAACCCTGCCTACAACACTCTTGGAACGTTTCACTTTCTCTGAAATCTCTCTAATGGTGTGCTTTTCCTTGTGTAGCTTCACAATAGCTTGTCTCACAGAGTAATCAAGTTTTTGGCGTTTCGCCATGGTGCCAGCTGATGCAACGTTTACAAATGACTAAGTAAGACTTATTCTTTAGAGGAAATCAAAAAATTTGAATATAGCATACTGTTTACATTGTTTTTCTCAATTTTGTCCCTTACTTTTGGACGTTCCAAATTTGAAAATAAATAAATAATTGTTATAATTCTTTTTCTATCCTTTGCAAATGATTCAAATTTTAGTATGTTATTATGGATGATAATGACTACCAGTTGTCAAAATTTCAGCTTTTCACAGTTGTTATTTCTAACAAATATTAGGTTTTAAAATTTTGTCCCTTAGTTTTGGACGCTACTGTATATACAGCATACACATATACAGGTAAATCTTAGTGCAGAGTACTTTTTTCTCAGCTAAATTCCATTTATATATAATTGTGGAATTTTGCAAAACATCTCATCTTTATATAAAGCAGTAGCACAAATATGGTACTCCCATGATGTCTGAATGCATCTAACATACTTGACACAACACAATTATGATATCCCCTCTTTGTCATAAACCAGTGGTCTTTTGACTCTTAGTGGTGATTTTCTAGCAGTACTGCTCTTTTTCTATTATACTAATGCCCAATTAGGCCTATTTTGTTATTTCTAGTTGTGATAATGGCCTTGGGTGTGAGTCCCTCTGCAGCTTCTCGATACAGGATATAAAACTTTATCATTGAAATATTACAGATAAACCAAAATATTTACTTTTACTATTTTGGAGTTTTGTTTGCAATACCATAGTACAACCTAAGTTGGTTGGACTTATCTACTGCTATAGTTGACAGAATGTTTCTTTATTGCATTTGGTTTGAATTTTCTGCATTTTTTGTGGTGCTGAAATTGCAAATCTCCAAAAGAATTCACCCTAGAAAACTCTAATCTTTTTCTTCTTGCACCAGGCCAAAGCTAGAATACCACTTCTATTTGACATTCTTCTTTAAATTTTACTGTTTAAAGTTCTTTTGGCAACCTTTTTTTTCCTGTTGACTTGAACTGTGCCACATGAGTACATTCTGTTTGTTTTCAAATCCACCAATTGCAAAGATGTGCAATAATTGTTGGAACAGAATTGACAGAATTAGTAAGCCTTATTACAATAAGTTCTAACAACTTTGGTACTGACAAATAACTGGGCAGCTGCACCATTTAGTTTGCCAGTAGAAATCTGTCCAATAGATAAAATGACTACATTGCAAATCGCCAAAGCTTACATAGTTTAGGTAGAAAATATTAAAGAAATGAATAGCTTCCCTTGAATTTTATCATTGAATCATCTACTAAGTTTTTGTGAATACAGTACATGCTGGAAAAGTTTTCTTTAGCATTATTCAAAACAGGTCTGATTTTATGTAACATATATGTTGGTGGTGATGGGGTCAAACTTTTTAAAGTGTAAATATGTTGTTAATTCAGCATACTTTTCCTTGGCATGACTCTGGAAATAAAGTTGTGCTGAACATCTCTGGTACTTCAATAACATTTACAATTTGGTAGCTGCACAGCCCCTATAATAAAACTCCCAGGTAAGCTTTTATTTCTTCTAGTATGGTAGGTTGGAAAAGTAGGTCACTTTCCTGTCTGGTATAAGTGCTCATCTCCATGGTAATATTAGCAAATGTTTCATCAGGAAAGAGTTGTAAAAATTAAACAGGAAAAGCTTCTGCTTGTAGAGGAAATGCTGGCCCAACAAACCTTGTAAATTCTTCCTAAAGCAAACATCATTAGTCCAATGAAAGTAGTTCCTGAGAGGTAAATCACCTGTATTAGCATTACTTTCACTATCATTGAGATTGCTGATGTGCATGGATGACACGGAAATATCACTAGTAGCATCATCCCCAATTTCATTATTTCTTTAGTCAAAACAATTCTAAATAAATTGGCTAAATTCAGGATTGCTTTTGTTTCCAGAGTCCTCCATTCTGTCATACCATTATGGACGAAAAAAGTTCAAAAAGCAGTTTTAAAAAGAGTCACATGGATGCAGCCATCAATAGAAATGTTTTAAATAAATCTTCCTTGCTAAAGAGTGCAAGAAAATCTAAAAGAGCTGATTTAACATGACATATAGTTACTGTACATTTTTATGTGGAGTTGGGTGATATGGGATGGAAGCGCAACTGCAGCATTATGCAGTATGAGATGCTAAGAATTAAATATACTTTTATCATTTTTTTTTTTGAAAATATAAAAATTTATTTTTTATTGGTTAATCTTAAAAGTTAAGCCATAATTTGTTTTAAACAAACTCAATGGTAAAATTCAAAAGAACTTTTAATGCACCTGCTCAGTGCAATAAGGAACAATTGCAGAGTACTTTAAAGTGACACAGGATATAATCCACTTATGTAAAAAGCAATATGTATGTACAACACACTTCTACATCACTAGGAGAAAAGTCCATTATTTAATGGGTAAATTGCTGATCTCCATGTGGTGGACTCTTCTGGTAACAGCAGAAATATAATTTTATGTTATGTCAAACTGGATAAATAAAACTCCATGATTATTCAATGATAAACAGAATGTTATTTGACAATTGTTTTTTTTAAAAACATTTTTATTTGAGAAATGTGTGTGTGTGTGTATCTATATATTTTGTATATGTACAACATTTTTTAAATATTTTTAAAGGAAAAGCTGTAATTTATGTCTTAAATAATTTTTAGTTCAGATAAATGAAAAATAATTCTGAAATTGTATTGTACTTATATCAAAAACTTAAATATTGCCATGATGGCACGGGTAAACTAGTAAGGCAGTAAGCATATTATAAGTATATAAATAAAATTAGAAATGTATCAAATGATTTTGTAATTCTCAACTATTGTTACCTTGTGAAAATTAAGAATGAATAAACAGAACAAAGTTATCTTTCCAATGAATCTTAAAAGCATTTTCCCCAAAATAACACAAAAATTTATACATGGCTAATGATTTCATGCTAAAGGCATTTTGACTCATAAAATTATAGCATGATACTAATGAGAGTATCATATAAAGTTACAGAAGGTGGGGGGGACTATTTACCCACAAAATAACAAGAAACATGTCAATTTGCCATGATTTTTTTTATGTAAATATTTTGATTACTTTTCTGAATGTATCATTCATATTAGAACATAAAAAATAGGCTAATAATGATTAAAGACATTATTATTGAGATAAAATACAATCAAAGTAAAAATGACAAAGTATCTATGATTATAAATTGTTTGTTCAGAAAAAAAGATCATTCCATTTGTATTTTTTAAAAAGATAAATCCCAATTAATTCTAAGAAATTTAACATTGTATACTTCTCATAATCACAGAAGATACATTAAAAACATAGTAATAAGGAATATACTCTGTAAGATTTATGTCACAAGTATTGCATGATTAAACATCAATTTGATTCATGCAAGAATCATGAACAGAAGCAACAACAGTGAATACTCACTAGGTATTGGTCGTAGAACATCAGGTATTAGCACTTCAACAAGAGCCTGGTAAAATGCATAATCTGATCTTTGAACATATTTTTGCAAAGGCTCATATTTACACATCGCATAGAGTTTGTCTTTTGGAAGCCGTTTCTCATAATTGTTGTCAGTACTGAAAAAGTAATCAAGTTTTTACTTGTCACTAAATATGTTTTTTTCTTAAAAAACATTAAAGTCTTAAATTATTATTGCAAGGATGCTGTGACAAAAATGTTACTGACATGCCAATTATCATTTGAAACCAACATCTCATCTTAGGAGCCACTTTTGCATTATTTGAACAAAATTATCTTGATTGCTTCTTTTCTTACACTGCATTTTGTTACAGCATCATGACAATTGGACCTCTAATGTTTACTTCACATAACCTCTCACTGCTAACCTCACACCTGCTATTATCATTGTACTACAAAGGAAGAAAATATTCCTTTTGACTTGACCTTTTATTGTTCTATTTTTACTAAGATTCTCTCTGACATTAACATTTAAAGTAATACTGAGATTCTAACCATTAACATGTAATTATTAAGCTAATGAAGTTTTAATAAATTCATACAAAGTCTATATGTCTAATTTTTATAATATTTTTCCAATTTTTTAATATGTTGTTGTTGCACAATCGGGTAAAAATTGTGGATAAACTCTGTAAATTCATGTTTTTGTTAAAGTACTTTTAATCATCTTGGCCATTATCAAGAACTAAACGTGGCCAGTATCAGAGGCAATTTGGCATTTCTTGGAACATTACATTTCAAATAAAAAATATATTAACAACATTTAGCTATGGATAATGACTGAGATGCTCAAAAGTACTCTAACAAAAACATGAACTTTTGATAATTTATCCACAATTTTGATCTGGATGTATAACACTTTATTTGAAAATTGGAAAAGTACAACAGAAAATCAAACAGATAGATCTTGTCATTTGAATTTAATAAAAAGTTTGTTTAAATGAAATTTTGTCACCTAAACATATTACATTATATATATATATATATATATATATATATTTAAATTAATAAATAATGCAGCTTAATAAATATTGTAAAATATTTATTCAAAGAATAAATCAATAAAGTTAATGTAATTAATAGCGAATTCACTTCACAAATAGATTAAGAAGGCATTAACTTACTGACCACTCACTGAATGATGTGATCCTTGTTTTCATTAACTGTACAGTGGATTAGATGTTTGGTCCATATTGTTTGCAAGTACTTTTGGTGAAAACATTCACCATCTTCAAGCATAGATGCTATATTTTTTCTCAATTTCAGGTAAAAATTCCAAGTTGAAAACAAATATAATACTTGCCAAAAGATGTTTTATTAAAAAAGTGTGCTGTTGTAACAAACGTTTTTAATAAAATATCTTTCAACAAGTATCACATTCATTTTTGTCTTGGAATTTTTACCCAAAATTACCCGAAATTGAAGAAAAAAATAACATCTATGCTTGAAGATGGTGAATGTTTTCACCAAAAGTACTTGTGAACATCTAATCCACTGTACAATTAATGAAAACAAGGATCACATCATTCAGTGAGTTGTCAGTAAGTTAATACCTTTTTAATCTGTAAGTGAAGTGAATTCACTATTAATTACATTAACTTTACTTATTCTTTGAATGACTATTTATATATATATATATATATATATATACACATACATACAAATAAATAAAATGAATAAGTCTATCAATTTTGATGTACTTGACGACTCGATTATAGAGGTGAAAGCATATGTAGAGTCAGCTACACTTTCTAGGAAAATTGATAATGGAGAAATGGTGCAAAGTGTGTCATGAAATCTTGAACAAACCTCCACCTCATGTTTTATTAACATGGAGTTTAACCTCCCAGGAATAATATCAAAGCTCAGATAGGATACTTGTATTTAAACATGACCCTCTCCACAAAGATGTTTTGAATTCAGGATTTTTCCTGCTCCTAGACTGGTTGCCATCCAAAACAAGAGAACTTGGTTTACCCTGCTATTTAACTCATAACTGAAAGAAGATGGATTCATAGCTTTTCCAAAGGTGTATTAGTGTAGTGTTAATTGAACAAAATAGAATTGATCAGAATTTGAACTCGGCTTGCCAAATCCACCTTCTGCACCAATAACATACACACACTCACACAGAGTATTTGTAAATTGATATTAGTTTGAGCTTACATATTACCTAATCTATGTGTAACATAGTAAGAGTGACTAAGATTTTTAGACTTGGTATGGCAACCAATCTAGGAGAACCATAAATTCAAAACAGAAAGGTAGCAGAAAACCACTCTACCAACTTTACCAAAAACAGTCATGGCAATTCACATATTACAGAAAAAGCAACTGTGGAGAGTCATGTTCATTTATATATATGGCATAAAAAAATTGTTATTTTCAGTTTAAACATGAAATGTTAAAATTTGAAATTGATTTTCACTCAAAATGAGCAAATACTAATTTTATGCTTTTGATAACTACTCTTTATAAGATTATACAATAGCTGAAATACTAATAAGATAAATATTGTTTTGTGAAAAGAAAAAAAATACTTTTTAAAAATATTAATTTTATTACAAAAGTATTAGTTTAATTTTAAACTTTCTAGATAGACTTGTAAAAGAGAATCCCAAATTTTGGAACAAATATTACTTACTTCTGCTGCTGTTCTGGTGTTTGATTCCTCCAGAAACCCTGCCATAATGCTTCAATCAAAGAAAACTGTAAATTTACGACTGCATCTACAATGGCCTGAAATAAATGAACATTTGCAATTAGAATTGTTTGTTTTGGTAAATTATGTGTAGGCACACTGACAAATATAATCAAAATTGCTATTAAGTTTATCAACAAGAAACTAAAAGATTTAAATGGCTTTAGTAGCAAATAACTATGGAAAAGCAAATGGTATCTTAACAAGAGCTGAATTCCTGTGTAACTAATAGTATGAAAATATAGAAACAGAAATTTTTTAAATATATTACCTGAATTTTGACTATAAACACTTACAGGATTAATGAATACAAAGTTAATTAAAAAAAAGAAAGAAAAGGAAAGTAAAAGTCTACCTCTGCATGTTCCCTGTAGACTTTTTCAAAGGTCCGGATATGTTCAAACATGATGCCATCAGGTAATGGCATCTGTGATGTATCAACTTCAACAAAGTTTGGGATAGCACCAGATGCATCACCTAAAAATTGCTGATGATGTTGTTGTTGTGTCTGTGAAGTGTCTTGATGAGTGCTATTATAATGGCTATACATGCTATCATTTTCACACCCTTCCACTTTATTATTGGCAAATCTCATTCTGGAAAAAAGAAACAAAAACTCCTTTACATTGTATACTAATATTTTATTAAAATCTAAAAGATGATATCAAGAAAAATTAAAACTAACTTTGTTAATGACATATTTGTTTTTTTTTTTAAACATTGCCAAATTTAGATATAAACCAAAACAAACTTATCGATGGGAATATAAGAACAAAGAGATGCATAAAGAGTGAAAAGTTGTATCATAATTATTTTCATGAAATGAATATGATTTTAAGAATATTATGGAATGACGTGTATTCAAAGAATAAAAAGAAACCATGGAAAAACAAACAAATGTTTGTTCCTTAAATTATTCACTAATAAAAAGGGTTATCAGTTTTAGTTGATATTCTATAAATGTTTTCCTTTCAAACTGAAGGAGTACTGATGATGTTATTTAAAGATGCATAGATTTTGCAAATCAAGTACAGAAATCTATTTCACAATATGATTATCTTGGGATAAGGCATAATTTGAAATGTATAATAATAAAGTTATAATAATACATCACTCACTTTTTGCCCTGGTATATTGGTTGCTGGCGTAAAGCCATTGTCTGCTCATCTGTGAATTGATTTAGAGGCGAGTTGGCCTTGATCCGTATTCCATAATAATGATATTTTGAATTTCCTCTAAAATGCCAAATGTGAATATTTTGAAAAAAAAAAAAAAAAAAAATCATCATGTACACACACAAATATATGTGTGTATGCATGAAGATATCTGCTGAGGGTTAAATGTGAAAACAAGTCCATGAAGCTGAGTACAGATTTAAATATGTGAACTATTTTTTATTTTATTATTAATAACTTAGTGTCACTATTAAAAAATTGATAAAAAACAAAGTTAAAAATATTTATAAAAATATAATATTTGTAAATTAATTCAATAAAAACAACTTGGAAGGTGAAATAAATTAGTATTGTATGAAGATAAATTATTTTGATACACATACTTAAGTTACTGTACCATTCCCAAATACAAAAACTACCGATCATATTCATGCAAAAATATTTTCATTGGTTAAATTTTAATAGTTATAATAGTTTAGATTGGGAATAGTCAGTTTCAGTGGGAAGAAAAATAATCATAATCTTACCGTGTACCAAGCCTCCTAGTCCGTAAGCCAATGAAAACTGAGCGTATTAATTTACCAAAAGAAGCTGGATTCATAGGATCTAAATTCTGCTCCTGGCAATGGCGTAGATAATGGTTATACAAAGTACTCCGGGGCAAACTTACACCTTCAGCAGTCTCATAGTTATCGAGGAGCCATTGCACCTGCATAATTACAATAAAATATTTAACTCAGCATCTATATACTGTTACAAAAGTATCGGAGGCTCCTCTATTTCCTATTCATACATTCTATTCTTTGGATATATAAAGAAAACATCATTTAAAATAGATAAAAATAAATAAGATAATATTTATAAACTGTCAAGTTAGATAACTCTTATTTATAAATAATTATTGTTTTGGGCATTAAAACATGCACAATCTTTTCAAAACACCCAACTATTTTCTACAAATATAAAAATGTTATGTGCCCACACCCACACAGGTAATCTTTCCAGATAATATTTAAATTGTTTCCAGGTACTCAATGAATACTTTATGTTCATAATTTTGTAACCACCAAAAGCGCGCATACTTCTCAAAAGAAAGATGGATAAGAAGAGTTAATCACCTTATAGATGAACTAAGAAAACAAATGTAATACTAACAGCAAAACTTACTGTGGCTGGGGACGCTCTCGTGGTGTGACTGAGGGGAGCCCCTTCGCCATCCATTGGACTACTCTGGATGACATATGTGCCGCCATGTTGAGTAATGATCTGACCTTGGATACTTTGTACATGGGTAATATTGGTGGCCATCTTTCAAGGAAACACAAAAGGAGAATGTAACGATAATCTAAAACAACTTGTAACATGGAAACATGCTGTGACACCAATGTCTCAGTGAGAAAGTTTTAGAAAACTAATCTGTATTGGTTTATTGATATTTTTCTAAAAGTTTTTTTTTTTAATTTTTTTTTTAGTCAAACCAGAAAACAAAAAGCATATTATGCATACAAGTAAATTAAATTGCTTTCAACTAAAAGAATATTAGTTACTTTAAAGCAGATCAGTAGAATAAATATTGGAGTTGCCTGTCTTTGTCTACAGTCACCGGTTGAACTTGCATCAAATTAAATGAATGACAGCTGAAAAATTTTCATTCATTTAAATGTTTGTACAAAGATTAAGTATATGAGTAAAAATATTTACATCATTGGTATAGATGGCCAGAAAATTTAATATTTAATTTTAGGAGATATGTTCAGATAAAGTTAATTGTTGTACCATTTAAACTAATAAGTTCCAATCATACCAGTCCCCATGAAAAGTAATGCTGAGATAAACTATATATCTAGTGATTAAAATGACTAATATATGGAGGTTTGATAACAAAATTAAAATAAAATTTTAAAAGCACAGAAAACTACCACTATCTCATATTAAAGCAACATTTGAATAAACAATATAAAGTTATTGTAATATCTCTTACCTGACTGCCAGCAGTTTGATAATATGCTCCACCCACAGAAGAGTACATGGTATTCGGTGCATATTCTTGATATGCTGGCCTAAACAAAATAATCATAGAGAATCCATTGAGGTATAATGTAGCTGACTTCATATAATTTTAAATGTTAGAGTCAAATTTCAATTAGACTCATTATTAAAAAGGTATAGAACCAGAATTATAGTTTAATTAGTAACAAAGTAGTTTTGAATTTATTTTAAATACATGAAGATAGATTGGATGGTGAGAATTTGGAACAAAATTTTAGTGTCCAATTCAGACTAAATTTACTTACATCTGAGTATCAAAAAAAAAAATCAAAAAAAAAAAAAAAAAATCAGTAAGTTTCACCCTGTAAATTAAAGATACTTTAACTGTATTTTTTAAAGTATTTAAACACTGAACATAGAAATATGCATAAAAGAAAATGATTAATATTAACAGAATAATTTGAGATTTTGCTTACAGAGGAATTCCAACCAAATAATTTGTGACAAGATCAGGGTGCAGGAAAGTTTAGGATGTTAGAAATTAAATGTAAAAAACTATTTTCAAGCTATGTATAGTTGCATAAAGTCAGCCAATTAAATACAAATAAGCAAATATGAAATAATAGTTGATTAGTACCTTTAGTAAAGAGTTGCTTTTCCATCAAGACAATTGTCAGACTAACAAGGCAACACTTTTTAGTAGAGTGTAGATAAAGAACACTAACAAATAATAAAACAAGATCAAACTGTAATACTTAACCTGTATTTTAAAATATGAAATATAAAACTGGTCATGAAAAGCAATAACATAAAGCTTATATGTGGACCTTGTGCCAAGACAGACAATGTCCTCCAAAAAGATGCATAGAAGAATGGCAGTTATAGATAATGAGTTCAAAAGCAATATTAAGTTGAACACTGAGGAAAGCACATAAAATACAACTGGTAAATTGACAAGTTGAATTAGTCATCTGTCTTGCCCCATGGAACACATACCTGCAGTTTCAAAAGTCATAAGATCAATGCAACAAACTACATGAATTGCTGATGAATTACAGAAGGAATTTGAAAGATAAACCCAACTTTTTAAAAATTGTAAATAAGCAAGTTAAATTTCAAGCTTAAAATATATATTTTAAAATAAAATATCAATGGTATTTGAAAATTAAAATGAAAAACAAACATTAATAACAAAATGTCAAATTTAGGAACTATTAACATAAAATAATCTAAATAGCTAATGTAAATTATCTCATTAACTGTAATAAAAAGAAGCTTTATTGCAGGCAGTGATAAATGTTTTCATACCATGAATCAGACAGATCAGAATGCAAACAAATTAATAGATAACACAATTAAAACTTAATTTAAATAAATGATTAATAATTGAGGTGTTATAATAAGTCATCTTTTGTAAAATTAATCAAACAATAAATGAAGTAAATGATCTTTTTATTGTATAGATCTATGTGTATTTGGTAAGTGAATGATACATATTAATTGATGAATAAAATCAAATCTAAGTAGAGCAACATGATCCACTTAACATTTATAGCCCAAAAGACTAAAAATATATTCAGAAATTGAGTTTCATTTAAATTAATTTTACAACACACATGTTCAATTTTGTCACAGAGCAGTTATGGTATATTTTAAAATAGGAATTTTATTTTGGAATCAATTCTACAAAGACTGGCTACAATGCTTTATATTATGACACTTGAATTGAGTACAATATTTAAAATTGATTTTGAGTTTTTAACAATTCAACAAAATTTAAAAAATACTAAATGGAAAATGCAGGTAAAATTTAATACATGAACATTTAAAACTATATTGTTTAAAAAAAAAAAAAAAAAAAAAAAAAATTAATTTTAACATTGCACCAAAATATTAAAATATTTAAAAACTTAAATTTTAAAACTTACAAGTTTACCAAACAAACATTTGTTCCATTATGTCACATTGTCTAAATATTGCTATAATGACATTGAAGAATGAACAGTCATTTTCAAAACTATTTTAGGGTACATACATTCTCAGATTTAGCAATAGTTACTTATAATTAGAAATTAGTTCTTTTCACTGGTTGGATTTATAACTTAAAATTTCAAATTTTCATTATCAAAGAACGGCTTGTCATTACAATTTGTCAAGACATGAAAACAATATTTTAAGGAAACTAAGATGTTATATACTCAGAAATATTGATTTTAAAAGCAAGAAAAGAGAAGCAGAGTTCAAAGTTGAACAAAAAAGCAAGAATAACAAAACAATTAACAAGCATGCAGCCAAAATTGTTCACCAAACAAAATCACATCTAAATTCATCAACAATTCAGTCGTACATTTGGCCATTGGCAGCTGTGTAGATAGCTTGGTCATTGGCGTCTACGTACTGGACATGTGCAGAATATACTGTTTGACCAGATTGCTGAACCGATGTCTGCTCATGGCTCTGCTCAGCAGCTGCTTCAGGAACTGATGCTAAAAAAAGATAAAAATAAAAAAAAATGATAAAAATATGATAAAAATATTTTTAAAAATATTGAATTATAATAGAGATAAAGATATTTCTACTTAAATCAAATCACTTTGTAATAATATCATCAACTATTATGTAAATGTTAAGGTCTGTAATTAATTATTTTCATTATTTCATGAATTATTTGGACTTATTATTCTCATTTGTTTTTATCACATATCAACTCTGTTTTTAGCATTTAGCATTCCTCTCAGGTATATACAGAATTTAGTTGTCTTTGAATGTTGCTTTATATTTTCAACTTTACAATAGAAATAATATAAATCATACAACCAACTGTAAAAATCTTGAGAAAAATATGCCCATTTAAAGAATCTGTTTGTTTCTATGTCTATTGTCTATAAACACAACAATTTTAAAGTAATTATTAGCAATCTGTTTGAATAAGAAAATTCATTGTTATGGTAACACAAGATATGTGTGGTACCATTCAAAGTAATCATGATACCATAATAAAGGACTAAAAAATAGTTAGATTGTATTATGCAAGGCAAGGTTTTCATAATGAAATTTTTATTAACCAGTTCACGTTGGTAAAATTTTCAGAACATACTTATATTTATATAAACAGTATATCAAGTGAATTTCAGCTTAGAATGTTTATCTTTATTAAAAAATATTAATAACTTGTTTTTATTGGGGGGGGACAGGTTTTATTATTCAAATAAACTAAGTTTAACATAAATTATTATTTATAAGTAGATCTAAAAGCTAGCATCCAGAAAAAAAACATTAACACAATATCCTATATACCTGAATAAATTCTATAGCTTTCATCAGTCTTTCATTCATTGATTAGATTTTATTATTTCCCAGAGATTTTCTTTGCTTGAATATTGTTTTACATTCTCATATATCTCTTTTAATCATAGACAAGTTTTCTATTGGATTAATATTTTGAGAGGCTGGTGGACATTTCATTAATTTTTAGTAAAGTAGGTAATAGTCAGATTTGCAGAATGTTAAAAGAGCATTTTCTTGTGCCTTAAAGATTCTTGATTGTGACCTGTAACACTCAAATAAAATAGGTCTTGTCTAAGAACTTACAGTAATGCTCTGCCTTTAACTGGAGACCATTATCAACTTCAAAGGGATATATAATCTTACTGCCTACAGTACTAGCCCAAATATTACCTGCTACTACTTCCTAAGCCAGGTTAATTGACTATTTACATGAAATCTGAGATCCAGCCATCAGGTCCATTACATATCACTCTACATTAATTAAAACTTATTGTTCAGAAATCAGTTTTCATGCACTTCTTTATCCAATGGACACATTTCTCTTTGTGGTATTAACTTAAATGTGGTAATATATTTGCTTTCATGTTGTTAGGCAGTGTTCTTAATATTCTGCATCTTTTCTTTGTTTACATTTGTACTAGTTAATCTACTTTTCTGGCATATTAACCTTTTTTTCCTCTCAAATCTCTTTTTATGACATTGTTAAAGCAAGCTTTTTCTTGTTATCTTGACAATGTTTTTAATTTTGTTGCTTTGATTTCTGTTCAACTTTTTCATAATTTCCAAAGTTATGTTTCCATTACTCAATAAGTTTACAATATAATTGTTTCTCTTAAAGTTATCTTTCTTATGCCCCATGACAATCTTTACATGTCTGAAGTTAAAATAATATAAATAACTATACTATATATTTATGCTGTTAATTCATGTTGTTTAACAAAATCTCATATGACAAAATAAATTATTGTAAATAATTAAAAAAGTAAAAAAGCTGAAATTCAAATAATTTTATATATAAATATATCCTGAAAATATTAGATATTCCAATACAGCTAGGGAATTTATTCACAGGTAATAATGAATTTATATACAGGGTGATTAAAACTAATTCAGTTTTAACAGTTTTATGGGAGTACATTTATTGGAAAAGCAAAACTGATATGATTTCAAACAGCTGTTTGCAATCCTACAGGTTCTGAAGACCATGTGGAAAAAGTCAATAGCTTTTTAAAATCACTGATGGAGATCAGCTTCCATATAGTGCTACATTATGAGTATGGAAAAACATGCTGGCCAAAATATTGCAATAAAAACAACAAAAATACTAGTCTGAAGAATTCATGTAATAATGATATATTGCAAATAAATGATATCAGCTAATATTTCATTTTATTTAATATAATCTCAAAAACTTTCTGGAATTTATAAAATAAGGACAACATTTTAATAAAACAAATGTAAATTAAAATTACAAATACACAATTCATGGTACCAAAGAAATACTGTAAAATCCGACTTAAGCAAAATAATTCAATATATTTTTGAATAATTGAATTTAATTTGTGGTAAAATGAGAAATTAATTTTCTTAAATTTTCTGATGAAAAAAAAAACAAACAAAAAAGCAAAAACAAACATACTAGCAACTATATAAGAGTGTCCTGTATGTGCCTGGGCAGGTTGAATGATTGTTGTAGGTGCCTGAGACACTTTTTGGATAGCTCCTCCTGTTACTGGAGTAGTTGCTTGTTGTTGTTGCTGTTGTTGTTGTTGTTGTTGTTGTTGTTGTTGCTGCGGCTGGCCTAATTGCTGTACTTGTGCCTGCTGCTGTTGCACTTGCTGTGTCGGCTGGACTTGTTGTACCTGAGCCTGGGGAGGCTGCTGTGGTTGCTGTTGGACGACTTGAGCCTGACTGACTACAGGTGACTTTGAAGCATTCTAGAAATGAAAACAAATACAAATCAGTACACATTACAGGTATGAGACAGAAAATGGATGTTTAAAAATGAATATTTAATCAAAATTAAAGAAAAATCAGAAACATAATTTCAACCTTTATGCTACCAAAAGATAAATTAAAATCTTTCACTAAAAATCAAATATTTTTCAATCTGCTGTCCATCACATCTCTATACATTATTTCAATGACAAAAAAGTTAAAGAGAAATGCTGATTTGCCATTTGTAAAAAAAAAAATTGCTTAAATAGAATTAAGTAACTGCACCAGATTTACTTAAAAAAATTCAAATTTAACAGTACATTTTTTTTTTTTTTTTAATCATTTCAAGCCCAAGCAAGGCAATAAAGCATCTAATACAAAGGGGAGGTGGGGAAGAGGTTGCTTACCCAAAGTAAAGGAAACTGAGAAATCATTACTAAGGAGAAAGGACAATAATAAAAAGAACAGGATTTAACTCTAATTATATGCATGTTCCACTATACACAATTTTTCTCAGAAAAATTTACTTGATAAATCATTTTACTTGATAGGAAGTAAAAATCTATTTGATTTCTGGCACTATAGTAAATCAACCATAGAAAATATTCATATATATATATATATATATATATATATATATATATATATATATATAAAAAAAGTACTACGATAAACAGAGTATTTTTGAAAAGTTCTTTTTTACTTATTCAATATTTTTTTGAAGATGTGGAGAAAAAAAAAAGTAGTACAATTTGATCATTTTAAAACTTCTAAATATATTAAAAGTTACCTGTTGTACATTTGCAGGATTCATGGCCTGTATATCATTCACATAGGTTTGAGTAGCCATTGGACATTCAGCCCTAGAAGAAATAATTCCAAAAATTTGACAACTATTAATATTTTAAGTAAGAAAGTGATTCATTCTATATCCTCTTGCTTAAAATAGTGGAGTTGGTATTATCTTTCAATACATTTTTATTCCCTTCTTTCAAGTTTCATTATATTTTTTTTAAATTAGAAATCACTGCTTCAGATGATATGGCAATTTAACTTTTATTGCTGTTTTATTGTAAAATAAAGCTTGCAATATTTGAAACTTATAAAAAAAAACATATAATAGGTATATTAAACTACATACTGAATTCATAGTAATCATATTGCAATAAGAATAAACAAGCGAGAAATGACTGAATTTAACACTTTTAGCAAGTGTGTTGCATAAACAAAATTGTAACATTTGATTAACATTCCAAATTAAATCTTTTCTCATAGAATGTAGAAAAAGTGGCATTAAGTAGCAGTGCTAACATTAGCTGAAACAAATATCTTTTGTTTATACTAATCTATCATCTCATAAATAAAAATATATCAGTAATCTAAGAGAATTTAGAACTAGAGGAACAGAAGTCTTATTATATAGATAACAAAAGTAATAGCAGTATAAATTACAACCAAGGAACAAAACAGATACTGATTAAGTAGCTTTAATAATACTGTAAGAAAATAATCAGTATTTTATATGTAGCAAAATAGATGCATAGATAGATTTGAAAGAAATACACTTAAATTTCAAAATTTCAATAAGTTCCATTGCTAATATTTTTAACTCTTGAAAGTTCATTACAGGTGGCTATTTTCTTTTTAAATCTACTTCTCTTTTTTAAGTCTAGAATACTTTAAAGTAGTAAAAATACATGAACAATTTATAATAGTTTACCTTTGTTTAAAAAACTCATATTATCATCTTTACTGTATTGTGAACAGATTAAAGAATCAATAGTAATAATATGCTATTTAATATAAATTACAATAAAAATAAATAAAAAATACTTATCTGGCATTGATATTTCATAAAAAAAATGAACTAAATACTTCACTTATTTCATAATTATGCAAAGATATTTTTTTTTAGACATGTATTTATGCTCTAACATACAAGTTCTACTGTTTATAGATCTTTGAACCATTTTTATATATCTTAAACATATTACATAAAATTTGTAGTGATATGGTTTGTTACTGAAACTAATGTTAAGTAAATGTACCTCATAATGAAAATGACTGAAAAGAGCTGACTGACTATACAGAAGAAAAAGTTAAGTTTTCAATTAATGTTCTTGAAGTACCAAAATTAGTTTTGATGATAAAGCTAAATTGTAATATTTATGAATTCATGAGTACTATTGTCATGTTTACAATGTTTTGTTTCACTTAACATACAATTCTAATATACGTTAAGATAACCAATTTACCTTCTGAAAAGTCAGGGTTAGATAAATGAACAAAATATTTTTAGAATCAATTGTATGATTGAATTTTCAATAAACTTACAGATCCATTTTAAAAAATCATAAATTTCTCCAAAGTTAAAATCTTGTAACAGCATAATACCATTAACAAAACAGCTGAATCATTTCAAGCATTATTCAAAGGATATAATTTCATTTATAAAATAAAATGTGTAAGGAAATTTATTAGCTACTTAGCTATGTCATATAAGTATGACACAAACGTTTACAAGAATGTTCAACCAATGTTTACTTGTAGTAACTAACAGCTCATGCACATACATTTTACATTCCTTCACATAGTGATTTCTTCCATGCAATAAATACAAATCTGGTAAAAATATGTGTAGTGTAATTCTTGGTTTACATCAAGTCATAATTATAATTCAAAGAAAACAATTCAACACCAAGTTTCAAAAAATCAATATGCAGTTCATAAGTACAAAGTTTTAAAATTTTCTAAAAATTAATATTTTTAATATACTTACATAAAAAAGACATTTGTTAAAATTCCTTATCAAAATATTTATAAGAAATAATGACAAAGGTGTTAGAGTAGACAGTTAATACATCTTATTTTTTTTCTGAATTCTCAAGATTATTCTTACCATATAAAAGAGACATGATTGAATTTTAGCAATTGAAAATATATGTAGAAATAAAAACATCATTTTCTTGGCGCATTGAATTTCAAGGTAAACTGAAAGAAGTAAATGGATTAAATGCAAATAGATAAGAAAAATATTATATCCATATTATCTAAAATTATTTTTTTTAGTTCAGTCTTTGCATTTATCTTTAATATTAAAAAAGAAACCTAATTACCTCCCTTGACTTGTGTATGGCACTTTAAATGGTCACAAAATTTTGAATTTTTATTGACCTTGTATTTCAGGATTCAAAGAAAAAATAGAACAAAAGATACATCTAAATTTCAGTATTTTAATTAGCTTCATTGCTGGAATTCTTAACTCATAAGATTTCATAACAGATGGTTTCTTTTTAAAGCTAGTGATCCCAAAAAAACAAATGTATAAAATATTAATTTAGAATAAGTTAGAATTGAAGATAAAGAAATATGAAATTTAATTATTATTACTCAAATTTCCCTCTATGAGGAGTAATCTTTAAATTTGAGGCAATTCATTAACAATGAATATTTATAAGTTAAAAATAACTTTTAATTATTTTGGAAAAAGAAAAGAAAAATTCAATATATTATGCATTTACTAGTAATAATAATGCTTTCTGTTTATGAAAATGTAGTAGCATGGATTTTATTTTGTTCTGCCTTGAATGATGTGGAAGACTACTAATGATATAGTTATATATATATATATATATATATATATATATATATATATATATAAAGAACTAATAATATAATAGAAATATTAAAAAAATAAAGACAAAAAATGTTTATTACATACACATATGAGCATTTTAGTTTCTTCAAATATAACATTTTAAAGAAAACTTTAAGAGTTTGAAGTATCTATAGATCTAGAGAAAATTCATTGTGAATTTATTTAGTGGATCATAAATTTATATAATTTGAACTGGCATAGTCTCATGTAAATTATATTTTATAATATTGAGAAATAACTAAAACTTTTAATTTTAAAAAGAGAAATAAACAGATTGTGTATGAAATGACTTTTCATTATAAGAACCAATATGTAAAAATCATCCAGTTGTTATAGATTGGGCAAGTTAATTGAGGACTGACTAGAGAATTCAGAAAAATGAATGATGGTTAAAATTGCATTATTTTAAAATTTATTGTCAGTTACTATAAGGATTATATGCCATGCAAGTGAATTTGCTTTTTATTTAAGATATGAAAACATTCCAGTTGAAAACATTGAATGGCAAAAATTTTTTTGTTAATATTACAAAAAAAAAAAAAAAAAAAATTACAAAAGTTAGTGATTAAAAAATATTAAATTTTTTTTATAAACATTAATTCCAATTTCCCAAAATAAAAGATTGAGCAAAAAACAAACATTTCATTCCAACAAAACAATTTGATGAGTAAAAGAACATTCCATAAAATGTTTAAAATTGTAAAGGAAGTGTGCAGTGAACCATAATCAGTGAACAAGCAGATGTTAGCCATAATACACAAGACAAAATAACATCTAAAACAATATCTGCTACTAACCAGTTTCTGTTATACTATGTCTCTTCTTGCTTGTTCTCCCATTGTCCAAGGTAAGTCTGTCAGGGTTGTATGATAATGGAATGGAACTGAAGGAGACATTATGTTTGTAGTTAGCCAGTGACCAAGAAGGGTTAAATTATATCCCTTCTTCAATCTACTGAGGAAGTAATCCTATTAGAAAAGGTGTATTTAGCAGAGAGTGCAACTAGCCCATTAGAAATAAGTTTGTAACTGAATCCTTTACACAGTAGAAAAATTTTTTAAAATAGTTTTCTGTTAAATACGATATTTTGAAAAAATAAAATAAATAAATAACTATTCAATAAATAAAATAGAAATTGCATCAAAATATACAATTTAGAATATATTTCCAATACAAGATTTTAACTATTTCTTAATTGTTAGACAATATTTTAAATATAAATAAATGGTTAAAATCAAATGCAAATAACAGTAAATTTGTCATTAAGTGGTAATTACAGGGAATGTATCTTTGTGAACATTTTTCCAAACTGATATTTTACTATTAACAACTAAAATATTTATAATTACACAAAGAAATTAGATAGATATAAATCTTTTTCAAATATTCAAATTTAATAGCATATATTCTGAGTTTGAAACTAGAGTGATTTGTAAAAAAATCAAAAATTTACTAAAATAGTATCTACATAAGATAAATAAACAGAAATTTTTACATTACATATTTGCTATATCCTATTATATTGCTCATTGACAATATCATTTTAAAACAATTGTTAGTTAAGAATTCTAAATCAAACACCAAGGAGCTTACCAAATTAACTATAATAAACCTAAATAATACTTAACGTATTGAAAAGAGAAGTAGATGAATTTATAATTGAATTTTAAAATTAAAAGTTACATGCAATATTTGTTAGCTTAATCCGAAATTAGTTTTGCAAATGATCTAAATGCCAATATATATTCCTGTAATTCAATCATAGATGAATAGATGCTATTGAAAAGCACATACGAAATACTAAAAAATACACATTTTGTATATATTCACTAAATGCAATAAGATACCTGCTGTAGAGTGATAGTTAGCAAGTTAGTTTTAGAAGATGTCCCAATATTGTGACCTTGTGCTACATAAGGCTGAGTTAATATTTACATTCACTATATACCCTATTTCAAACTGAAAGAAAATTATTTTTTTTAATATTTACAACTGAAAATTTTTTTCCATTAATAGTTCAAAAGTTAAGAAAAATTTAAATTGGTAAAATAAGAAACCAATTATTGTACATTTCTCTTTAGATTCATAACATATACTATTTTAATAAAATGCACATCATTTTTTAAAGTTAATCAAAAATATATTCAAACTCTATAAGTTATACAGAAAATCTTATGCATAAAAATAAGCTTAGGTATATTCATT